CTGGCCGCAGTAATCCCGTGGAATGGCAGGGCCTGGCTGGGGCAGAGCCGCTGGCACTGCTCTCTCAACATGGGTACGCTTGCTTCGCTTGAAGCGCTGTGGGGCAGAGGCAGCCCCATCCCTGCATCCCTGCACGGTGCCAGCCCTGCTTCCCCCAGCCTGGGCCCGCTGGTGGCACTGCCGGCACAGAGCACGGCAGTCCTGCTGCCATGAGCTGGGGGGAGCAGCGGGGACAGGGCTGGGGACAAGCCTCCCAGGGGGCAACACTAATGCCCGGGTGTCCCTAACCCCCCCCAACTCTGCTCCATATGCTGTGTGAGGCTGCGCACACAGGCCAGCAGGAGCCAGGGGAGCGGACACGACTGCAGGGTCAGGGGATCTGTGCAATAACACATTTGCTGACTGTGCTCAAAAGCTTCTCCGAAGGCAGGCATGTGGGATTACAGCTGGACTCCATGGGGTTTAATGGAAAAACTCCTGGCGAGTCCCCCGAGGCCAAGCTTTTGCTTTGGGTTTACTGCAGATCGCATTTAGTCTTTTACACCAATGCAATTTTCTTGCTCTGTAACGCACAAGGTCATGCTTATGGCATGGATTTTTTATTGTTAAGAAATACCTGTAAATAAAGTTTTCTGATTGTGTCTTGATGGAAAGCGGGAGGGGAAGTGCAGAAGGAGCACTCGACTAAGAAAATGAAGGAAACCGATGGGAAACAACGCTTTAAACACAAGACCCAAGTATACTCAAGTGTAACAAAGCTTTTGTTTATAGAGTACCGCACCAAGCACTTAAGATCTGCACAGCACTTTATTCCATAGCATGAAGCTAGCTGTGACACAGCCTTTGGCGGGTGGGACAGCCGGGGTGAAGCGCAGCTCTGGCTGAAGGCAGCGGGAGCTTTCGGGGGGTGGCAGTGGGAGCCGGCGGCTGCAGACGGACGGTCCCGCCTTTGCTCCCGCCGCCTCCCGGATCTGCAGCCGGGGGGGGGATGCGCAGAAGCAAGGCCTGCATGCAGTCAAAGGGTAATGTGATTTGGCCTTACGTGTGGGGAATGAATATGAAAAATGCATTTAAATGTGTACTTTATTTTTTCACTGTCATCAACAGGTACATTTTCACCTTTCATGTCCTGGCGTTCCTTTGACTTTTTTTGTAGTAGCCTCACGTGAGCTCGCGGCACATTTGCTGAATACAGCCCAGCAGATTCAGTCTCAGCATATTTTACCAGACTGGTTTAAATCCTTAGGAAAGCACATAGCATTTTCCACCCATGTTCACCTTCTTTCTCCTTGGGAGTAATAAGCTCCTGCACAAAACAAGGAGGGAGGGTGTCCCATTTTATCGTGAACCCGGGGACCTGGCGCATCCTCTGTCTGCCAGGAAGGAAACGCAACGTGGCGATAGATTTTACCAGGACTGATGCAGAGGGCAAGGAGGAAGCTTTGGGAGAGGCAGGGCATTGCCTTGCCAGCCTTGGTTGCAATTACTGGCTGTGGTTACGTGGTCAGGCAGGCGGGGCCGTGCCCCCACGCGTGGGGGGGTGACGCTCCAGCCCACGGCCGAGCTCCTGCGCTGTCCCCGGGCTGCGGCGAGACGGGGGACGGGGAGAGGAGCTCCAGGTTTGTCACTGTGGAAGGATATCAAACACTGCCGAAAAACTTTTCATAAGGGTCAAAAGCAAAGTAGAGGTGCTGACGCGTGAGTGGCCTGTGCTCCATGTGCGGGGAGCCCATAGATCACTGCGGTGGGGAGATCAGAATTTTGGAGGTTTTTTGGGTTCAGGCTGTGAACGACTAGAACAAAAAAAAAATTAAAAAGAATATAATCCCAGTATCGTTTTAAATTATTTTTATTCCCACAAAAAGCTTTAAAAAATGCTTATGATAAAGTGTTTTTGGAGACTTTTTTCCCCCTACAAATATCTAAATATCTTTTTTTATTTTTTGTATCACTCCATCCATCTCTAGGCCCAGTGTTGCTAGAGCATGGGTGCTCTAGCTGTGGGATAATGGAAGTCCACAATCCCTAGCCATTGGAAGAGCACCAGTAGAAAATCTGGCTCGCTCTTGTCCTCAGCATGGCACTAGAAGAGACTTTGGCTCCAAGTCTTTGTTGGAAGCCAAGGGAAAAAAGCACATGAATACAACTGAGAATAACTTCTCAATGACGAGACCTCCTGGGCCCTGATTCAGCAAAGCACTTAAGGTCAGAGCCAAAAAAGCATTTAAGTGCCTCAAAGTTAAAGTACGGCTTCATGGAAGATAGACTAAACAAATTAATTGACAATACAGAGGAGGAAAGAGCTCCCAACTGGACTTTTTTCCCCTCATCCCTGTGTTTTCACTGGCACCGGGGTGGCTGGGAGCGGGCAGTGTCCCGGAGGAGGCTCCTTCCTCTGCTCCCGCAGGCACATCTGGGCGAGCCCCGCGGGATGCTGTGGGAGGGGGACCGGCTGGAGGGAAAGGCACGAGGCAGCGTGTCGGACGCGGGTCTCCTCCAGCGCCGGGACGGCAGCTAAAGCAGGAGCAGAGGGACAGCCCTCGCCGCGTAGGATAAATGCATTGCTGTAGGCTAGAGCTTACCCAGCATCAAACAAGCAAGCACGTAGTAAATATTGTCCCTGAGAAACAAGCCAAAGCTTTACTTAAAGCCAAGCTTGTCATTTCTCAAGCAATATTATCCAAAGCCAGTTGTTGTCATTACTCCCCATGGTGCTGCCCGGCTGCCCTCTCTGCAGCCCCAGCGCGCTCACGGGCGATGCACGGGACAGCTGCCCACCTGTATTGTACTGCCCGTTGAATCCTGACCACAAACCATAATGATGCCCCGTAATTAAATAGTGAGTGTCATGCTGCCACAAGTGGTTTTGCAATTGCTGGTGGCCCAGGCCCAGCACATACTCCCAGGAGGCAGACACAACATTTCATGCACTAATTGATCTGGATTTCAAAGCTTTGCTGAAATGCAGAGACACATGAAAAGAAAAGTTTGTTTTCACTATTCTATCCACAAAACTTTTGTGCAGTGTGATTTAATACAGAAGCTTCCACAACAACAATTATTTGCAGCAAATAATAATTCATATGCAAGTATTTCTCTTAGTGTCATGCTAGACTGAAGGGATGGAGAAGCAGGCAGGGTTTGGTCTGTTGTCCAGCAGCATCTCTGCACCCTTGCTTCTCGCTCTGCAGCTGCAGGTCCTGGCCCAGAGCTGTGGTCCAAGAGATGCTGCGGTCCCTCCTGCAGGAGCAGGGCATGATGCGGGGGGGTCCTGGAGAGCAGAGGGCTCTCCCTGGGCTGCTTGCCGAGCCTCAATGGGCTTCTTTTCTCCTAAAGCTGCTGGCTTTCGGATAGAGTAAGGAGCAGCCCAGCATGCCTCCATCTGCAGGGAGCATCCCCGACAGCCAGCTCTGCCGTGGGGCCCTGCTGCACTGCGCAGGTCCCTGGGCACGGGTGTCCATGTGCCAGAAGGCAGGGCATGCTGCAGGAGCCAGGGGAACCTGTGCAGAGGGGTGGTTGTGTGAGGGCTGGTTGGGGCGGCTGTAGGGACCTAGATCTCCTTCCGGAGAGCAACTCTGATGTTGCTGCAGATCTTGGAGAGTGCTTCAAAGAGCGGGTCGCAGAAGGTGTGGATGCAGAGGGAGTAGATTCGGCTGACACACTGGATCTCTATCAGGTAGCTCTTGATGCAGGGCACCACTGCCCAGATGTGACAGAAGGAGATGAGGGCAAAGAGGAAGCCCCAGATGACTGCCAGGGGGATTCCCAGGATGGCAGAGAGCAGCCGGTAGCACCAGTACTTGCTGACGGTGAAGGTGGTGTAGCTGGTTTTCCAGACGCCATCAAAACTGTATGTTCCCACAGGCTCAGCTATCACATCCTCAAAATCCACCTGGGAGGAGAGAAGATGGAGGTAGGGGGGCTGCGGGGGAGTTAGCAAGGGCTCCAGTGCAAGGACGAGGATCCGCTGCAATGCAAGAGGACAGCCCAAATGGAGGGGGCTGGAGAGAGCCAGGGCTGTGCTGGGGGGACACACGGATCCCCTGCACCCCGCTGAGCAAGGATGAACCCTGTGGTGCAGCAGGAGAGCCCCTGCCCTTGCAGAGGTGCAAGCAGGAGATGGCACAGGGCTCCCGGCACTGCCTGGCCCTGCCTGGCCTCAGCCCGTGGGCAGCACGGCACGCAGGCTTAACCCATGGCACAAAAATCCAGGCTTGGCCGCCTCGGGACACATTCCCCGGTCCCAAACCCTGAGCTGTGGACGGTGCTTCCAGGTGCTGGGGCCAGGCACGAGCCCTCGGAACAGGAGCTGTGCGTGGGCGTGTTGACTCCAGAGGAGGCAAGAGCCTGTTCTGCCCTTTTTTAGCATGCAGGGACATGGGCTGCCTGCTCGGCAAGAAGGTGGTTTGTGCTAATAAAAATCCAACATCCCTCTTGATTTACGATTATTTATTTATATATGTGGAGACAAGGTGCCCAATTCTGTCTGCCTGCATTCTGTCTGAAGAGGGAGAGAGATCAGCTCAGCCATGCCCTTACAGGGATAGTGCTGTTATGTGCAGGCATTGGGAGTGTCTCTGAATGACAAATATTCTCAAAACCCTCTGAACTACGCCTAGCGATCTCATTGTGGTGTAACTCATTTCTAGGGAATATGTGAGCCAAGCTATTTGTCTTGAAAAATAGCATGGCCTTTCCTTGGGAAGCTAATGTGTCTGTTTGTTCATTTATGTTAAATTGCAATATTCATTCTGGTTTTGGAAGCACTTTGATCATAAAATCATTCTGCATTGTCTTTAATTTCCCGGAGTGGAATATTGACACAGACTAGGAATCGGCAGCCAGGTTAGCTGGTCCTGGAGCTCCTGTCAGCAGCTCCCGGGAAAGCCCTGCTGCCCAGGTGGGCTGGGAACCGAGCAGCAGGTCACTGCACAGCTGCCTGAGTGCCTGATGAGCTCATCAGGGGATCAATTAATGAAGGGAGCAGCAGGCTATAAAAGAGTCTCTGCTTTGCTGCTTCTGTTGCTAACAGTGCACCAGAAGAGTGGGTCTAGAGGAGCGGTGGAGAGGCCAAATCCTGAGCTGAGTCTGGGCATGACCCCGAAGTGTTCAGGGACCAGCAGACACAGGTACTGCTCGATTGCTCCATTGCTTTGCCTGGGAGGAGGCTTTTAAAGCTCTGCAAAGGTCCCGTGGCCGGTGCCACTGCTGTAACTGTAACGTGGTCTCAAATTCTGGCTGCTGTGCCTTAATGCCCAGGATGGGTTTATCTATGGCCATGTGAACCCTTCAGCCTGCAAACCACTCTGCTTTCCTGCTTCCCTCCGCTGGATGCCTCGCTACCTGCTGTGCTTTAAGAGCGTTATATGCTTTAATGTCCAGGGTGTTTGAGTGTGTTGCTGCCCACTAGAGAGCGGGGAGGCTTTGGCTTTCCCTTTGGGACGCTGGTGAGCGGCAGCGGGGTGAGTTGTACTCCCTGCCTCGGGGCTGGCTCTGCTCTCCCTCCCCAGCCTTGTTGGCTGTGCCGTCTTTAAGGTGAGAGGAATGCTCTGAAAACTTCTAAAGCTGATGAAGCAGCAGTGTGGCCATGTAAGCAGGTGAGCTTGAAAATCCTCTTACAGGTGTTTGGGGATCCCTGAGTGGGAAAAGGCGGGAGAAGGGGTGGGGAACAGGGCTGGTGTGAGGGGTTAGGGATGGCCTGGAAGGTGCTGGCATTACCCCTCAGTGGTAGCTGGTGATATCCCCAAGCTGGGGAGCGGGTAGGTGTGCCCCGGAGTGCTGCCTGGCACTGGGGGTGAGCCGGGCTGAAGGCTGTCCCGGTCCTCGCCACCCCAGCAGCGTGACTGATGGCAGGGTGGTGCTGCCCATAGCCTGGTGCACTTCCACGCCCTGGGCCAAGGCTGTTGGGACGTGCTGGCATGGTGCAGCACAGATGTGGGACGCGCTGCTGGGAACATGCTTGAGATACCGAGGTGCCTGGCAGCTGTCACAGGCACGTCTTGCTGTGCCAGAAGGGTGCCCATCTATGGCTGTCACAGCTCATCTGGGGGGCTTTTAATTTGGCCAGCCCACAGTTTTAGCTGTAATAGTGTTTTAATGCACAAATGCAAGCTTGGATTTCACCAGTATGACCAAGGTCATGGCCAGTTCCAAAGCCTTTGGGAGCAGGCTTTGTCCTTTCTGGCATGTCACCCTCTTTGATCTCTCAATACAGCTTTAACAAACCCCTTCCATCTCCTCCTGTTCTTCTTTGGGCCAAAATTATCTTTAGCATAATGCTAACAAAGCTTAGAGCAACCAAGCTCCAGTGGTCAGCGTTTGGGAAAATGCTTCCCTGTTCAGCTAGAGTGAGAACTCCTTTTGATCAAAAATAGACAGAGGAGGCTTGCTGCGCCTTCCTGCTGCCCTGTGGGAGAAGCAATCTTCTTCCAAATAGGACAACACGTATCTAAATGCTCTGGTGCTCAGATTGTCAGGTCTTGAAGATTAGCAGTCTTTTTCCAAGGTTCTCTTTAAATCAGTGATATGGGCTGACCCTGTTTTATTTTTGGCTCCCCACTTACTGGTATGAAGGAGGGCGTCTCCATAAATTTTCAAGCTACAGCCCGTGAAGTTGGAGAGTGCATTCAAGGAATGGGAAATATTGTGTTAATTGGAGCCATGCACAGCACACAGCCACCCGGCTGGAGTCTGGACGCCCCAGCAGCAGGGTTGGGGCTTGCAGCAGGTACCTCCCTGCAGCCCAAGATAATGCTGCTTCTTGAGGCGCGTATACCAGTGATTTACAGCCCTGGCTGAGGTTAAACCAAATACAGAGTGGCAATACTTAATGCAATATACTGATTACATTAAGGAGGCAGTGATGCTTCTAAAAAACCAGTGCTGAGAAAGTCCTACCTTCACAACGTCCTCGTTAATATGCTTTGGGTCTCTGTTCACCAGGTCGATCTCCTTGGTGTGCTGGTCCTTGATGATGATCCTCTCCTCCAGCTCAGTCTGTTCCTCTGCCATGGCTGCTCTGCTGCCAGCTTGGCTCCGGACGGTCACGGAGCTGGGAATTGGGGCTCTGCTGGGGGAGGACCCGGGGGAGGGCAGGGTGTGGAGGCACTGCCCCCCCTGCCGCCTGCAGCAGCTGCCCTGCACCCCTGGCAGTGCTCCAGGCTAAAATTAATGTCGTGCCTCCCGTGGCTGCCCTGAAGTGTCCCTTAAAGGGGCTTTGCTGGGGACAGCCCCTGTGGTGTCACCTCTGGGGGGCACATCTGCGGGGGGCTGGTGGCCCTTGAACAGGGGCAAGGGTGGCACAGGGGGTGGGTGAGCAGCCTCCAGCCCAGCTGTGCAGGTGGGATTCTCTCCTCACATAGGGGAGGCAGTGTGGGAGAAATGATACCCAAATTGGAGCAAAAGTCCTCAAGAGCCTGAGAGAAATAGTTGTTTACAAGGGAAATAGTTGTTTACAAATCTGTAAACCAAGTGGCTCAGGGGAGATAGGAATTGCATCTATAAATATTGCCCAGAGAAACCACACTGTCCTGGGATGGCCAGCGAGCCTCAGGGTCCCTCCAGGAGCCCAAAAGAAGGCTCATGGTATCGGCTTGGATTCCTTTGATTCTAGCTTTTTCATACAGAGAAAGTCAATGAAATCCAGATCTATAACGGTTGGAATATCTCCTCGTGAACACTGAGCACAGTGACATTTAGCATATTAATGAAGATTTATTTAACTTGTGCTGTATTTTGATAGTCTTCATCAATCTCTTCAGTGCTGTCTTGGTTTTTGTAAACTGAAAATTTGTTTAAAACTAATGGTTTTGTGAAAAAACCAAACTACCCCCCAAAGCTTCTGTCAAATCAGTTGTTTATAGACACTTTCATTTGAAGTAGTATTGGGATAAGTGACCTCTGTTCTCCCATTGTGTGTCCATTTGGTAAAGGCTACTTTACAGTAGCTCTAAAGTCTCTCCATTCAGTGCTGGGGATGCCCTTGATGACAACTGGCTGTGCTGTGAGGGTGACAAAGCAGCTGGTTGTGACTTAGCCCCGGTGAGCCCTGTGTGTCAGTACAGCCCACTGCAGCGTTTGGAGGCAAAACCTCTCGAGGGGGTCACTGCATATCAACCCCCGTTAAAGTTAAGTGTTCATGAGCATGTCTCTGAGCTGTTCTTGAGCCCTGTTTCTCTACCTTCTGTTTCACGTGTGAAATGATGATGTGTGGTACCTCTCCCTGGGAAGTGCTTTGGGTTTTGTTGTGGAGATGACATGTTGCCTCTGGCAAAGGCTGGCAGTGACACCTCCATCACTTTGCAGGAGAGGAGCAGGCGGGAACACCCCAATGAGCCTTGCTGGTGGCCCAAGTCTGGTGGTGCTGTGGGCGCCTGCTTTTCCCTTCCTTCATGCAGGCAGCCTGTCTGCACACCTTTTGTGCTGACACAACGCAGCAGAAGAGGGAATGGATAGAGAGGAAAGGGTGTGTGTGGCCCGTTAAGGAGGGGGGATCAGTGCCCCGGAGGTGTCTGCACAACTGCTGGGCGTGGAAGTGGCCACTTCAGAGCTAATGTGCTCGGCTGGCATGGTGGAGGGGAGGTATTTTAACTGCAAAATGCTGCTGCCTTCCAAAAACATCAGTGCCTGTGCAGTGCTGTCTTTATCAAAGCCATGTGGCTTGGTGCCTGGAGCTTTCAGCGCTGCAATGGTTTTGTTCCAGCCCTTTGAGTTGATATAATACAGTGCAAAATGGGTTTGTGTTCTTTCATTTGGCTGAGGTGTAGCAGGTCTCTCGGGTGTATTCATTTTTCCAGAGAACTTGTGATGGTGATGGCCTGACTGAGTGTTACCGCAAGGTCAAAGGCTGCCAGACTCCTCTAACTCCTGCTGCCCATGGTGTTTTTTCAGTATTTTTGCTGTAGTCAGGGTGGTACCTCAGTCTGGAAACTGTTTTTCTTGGCATTTCTGCTCTAGTGAAAGCAGGTGTGGTGATGCTTTGGGGTGTGACATATCCATGGCTAAAACTGTGATGACTTGCAGCTTGTCAGAGACCTCCCTGATTTCTTCTGTAGGGAGAGAAAGGGCAGAACTGGGGGTGGAAAGTAACAATGCAAACCCATGGGGTTTTGCAAAAGCAAAGGAGGCACCTATAGAGAAGTGACAAATTCTGTGAAGGTTTATGAGTGTTGGGTCACAGGTTTAAATCTGGGCAGGTTGCTTCTGGAGAGGAGTACCTATCAGAGACCCTGTCCTGGCTGTGTTCCTCTGGGTGAAAGGACACTGGAAAAATCCTTCAGTAGCACTAGTTCCATGTCCCTGGATCTCCCGCTGGTGGGGTGGCTCAGTCTGGCCCTGTTCCTTTGCCTTCCTGCAGTGTTAGCTGAGCAGCACAGCAGCAGGCACAGCTGCAGTGTTAAAACACACCTGGGGGGGGCAGTGAGTTGCTGCAGGTGGTACAATGTGCCCAGAACTGTTTGTGTCTGGGAGTACCCAGAGCCTCTCGAGACAAGCTGCCTGCTGGTCTCTGCCCTTTGGCTGGGCTTTCGGACCTGTGCTTTGGGCGACCTGGCCCTCTGCCCATGGTGCCAGCACCGGCTCCTCTCTAGGGAACGGGGGGTTGCCCAGCAGCTGGAGGAGCCCAAACCCAGCATGGGCTGGTGTTGCAAGCAACAAAACTCCTCCAGGCTCTGAAGCTTTGGGCACCAGCTTTAAGGTCAGACCTGTTCTGTCTCGGCTGAATTCCTCTCTGACAAAGTTTTGTAGCATCACTGCTGTGATGGCTGAGCTTTTACCAAAGCTACCTGTGCTTCAAGATAGATTGTGAAGGGTGTTTTTGCAAAATAAGCTGTTTTCCTCTTACTCTGAGCTGAAGGAAGACGTTGCTGGTGTGAGTGGGGCTGTGAGCGGAGGTGGTGTGTGTGAGTAACCACTCTCTGATGGAAGAGCAATGCTCGCTTGGCTGGGAACCAGTGCTGAATTTAGGAGGCACAGCTGCTGCTGGCAGTGACGGAGGAGTGCGACACAAGGTATTTGCTCTGCTGCAGCTCTGCTTTTTCCTGGACCTGTCCTGTGTGGAAGGCTTTACGCCGGGAAGGCAGGGTTTGGTGGCCTGCCCTCCCTGTGGTCTGGGGGGAGTCGACCGGCTGCCCCGAGCCCCAGGGCTTGGGGGGGGGCATAGCCGTGGGGTGCAGCACATGCTAGCCCCTGCTTTGCTGGGCCCTGCCCCACCTCTTGTATGGGATTTCTAACAGTGTGAATCACTTGCTGTCTTTAGGCTTGGGCTGGGCTGATCCTTGCTGTCTGCACCCGGCTTTGGTGTCCCAGGCGTGGGAGTAGGAAAATGTGAACTCGCGTAGTGGTTAATGTGCAGTTGTAAGTGTCTCAAGTAGCAATGAGAGAGAGGAGGAATATTCTGTTGCACTGTAGATGCTATAAATAAATCTATTTCTGAGTACTTTAAGACTCTGAATGGGACAGCATGTAAAAGCTTCTGGTGTGCAGAGGCTACAGTGGCCTTACAGTAATATTAGTTTGTTAGTAACTAATGATGACCAGAAGTTTAATTGCTAAGTATAGATAGTAAAATGATAGCAGTTTTAGCAAATATTAATGCTCCCCTGGGATGGATATAATGAGATATGCATTGAAAGAAGTTGCTGGCCATGGCTTGTCTTGTGGAGACCCTCTCCCAACCTGGCCATGCAAGAGACTCAGCCTTTAATTTCTTGGCAGTGCCCTTCTAGTACCAACATACTTTAGGTACACAGCAATAAAGTCATCGTGGCTTTCAATATAAAGTCCAGCTTTCATACAGCAAATGCATTCCTCCTTTCAAATCAGGGGCTTCTCCTCATGGAGGTTTTCTTGCACCAGGCTCCAGGCAAGTCCTAAGCTTCAGCTAGTCGTCTTGTCCCCTGAGTGCAGCTGCCCTCAGCCGGCCCTTGTCTGTACATCTGTCCAGCTCTGAGCATGGAGGAAGGGGATTCAGGCTTATGCAAAAGACTGGGCAGATTGGGTGTTTCTGCATGCATGGAGGACACTTGGGTGTTTTAAATATAAATATATATTAAAATATATAAAAATATTTCAAGAAGAGAAGAATAAAGCAGAAATAAAACTCGCAGAAATAATACAGAAATCAAAGCTCCTATGAAAACAAATAGACCAGAATTGCAGTGAAGGAACAGTAAAGAAGGAGAAGAAATTGGGAGCTTTTGCTATTGAGTCCTCTGAGAGCATGCGGTATGCTGTGGGAGAGAGGAGAGCCCAGGTACAAAGTGATGCTGGTAAATTAAGTCTTAGGTTAAAGCAGGAGGAATGACTCAGTGCATAAGTCCTGACCTCAGGGGCTTTGAATCCTTCAGCTCAGTTTAGTGTGTGTAACAAGGAAAGCGAATGAACGGTATTTCAAGGAAGTGGAAGGCACTGCCAGATGGGAGCCAGGGTAGGGGATCAGCTCTGCCTTCAGTGCCTGGAGCAGAGCTCTCCTTTCATCTTTTTTAAAGTGAAACAAAACTACCTTTCATGTCTCCTTCCCACAAGTATCTTTTAGCTCCTCTGACTATCTGTTGCAGGTTAAAGCTCAGTTTTAATGATCAGTTCCCTAGTGTTACTTCTCCCTGAAAATGGGAGCCTGCAAGTGGTAGTATGTGATCCTGTCTTTGGTTTCTCTTGCATATTACCACAGTGATGCCATGACTCAGAAGCTAGAGGCTGGGTCTCCTCTGGTGGCAGGAGCACACATGTGCAGGCTTTGTAGTACTGGGGATGAGCTGCTTCTGTTTTGGGTACAAATCTGTAAACCTGGCCAGTGGGTCTGCAAACACCTGATCCTCTCCTTGTCTTCCTTTGCTGGCTTGAAAAAGCACCAGGATGAACCGTGGGCTATGACTTTGTGCCATGTGAGGTTTGCACTATGCAGCATCTTGAGTTTCATGTACAGAAATCACTTATTAAAGTAAACAAGTTGGATCAAAGTGCACAGGAGGAGCAAAACCCCCAGGTAAGAAAACTGTTTAATGCATGCTTTTGCTGGTCAGCTTGAACGCTTGAGGGGATTATGTGTACTTCCAAGTGAATGGGATGGGTCTTCTCCATCTGCCTCGAATTCCCTCTCTCTATT